TGTCGCCCGACACGCTGGTCGGCGGCAGCACGAATATAACCAGCGAGCCCACAGTTCAGCCAGCTGTTCTACAGGAGCAGCGCTTACACGTCACCGATCGCACATCTCACATCCGCTTCCTCGTTGGTTCTGGATCTGTGGTTTCCGTCATACCACGAACGATGGGTAGACAAAAAACTTTACATGGCCGTTCATTATCAGCTAATATTGGGGCAGACTTTTTGAGCAAATTCCAATTGCCCATTGATCTTAAAAACCAACGCTTGATCGACTCAATTACTGGACTATCAACACCACCATGTCTTGCACAAGCGAAACACATATCAATTTCCAGTGTATGTCCAAATTTCATAAACTTCTAAGTGAATTTGTCGACATGACAAAGCCATCGATAAAAGCAGCTACGCAACACGACGTGCGTCACTATATGAAAACAAATGGAATACCTGTTGCTGATAGACCATGACGCCTCTCCGGTGAAAAACTTGTCACTGCCAAGAGAGAAATAAGCTTCTGAGCAAGGCATACGCCCGTCAAAAAGTCCTTGGTCCAGCCCGTTACATATGGTTCCCAAAAAGGACGGTGGCTGGCGGTCATGTGGAGCTTATCGAAAACTAAATTGCAGAAAACGATATCCAAAAAACAGCGGTGTGCACTCCTTTTGGACTCATTGAGTTTCAGTACATGCCGTTGGGGCTAAAAAACGGGACTCAAACATTTCAACGCTTTATGGACAACATCTTTCGCGGCACGGACTTTGTTTATTGCTACATAGACGACATACTTATAACGTCGCATTCCATCGCGGAACACGAAGAACATCTTCGGGCTGCCTTGCAAGTACTTCAGAAACATGGCCTTAGCATTAATCTGACCAAATGCCATTTTGCGCAATCTCAAGTAAATTTTCTCAGCTATACGATCAACGAATTTTGAATTAAACTACCCACCGAACGCATAGATGCCATTCTTAATTATGCACGTCCTGAAACCATAAGCCAACTTGGTCGTTTCTTGGGCGTTATAAATTACTATCGCAGATGTTTGGCTCGATCATCACACATACAAGCACCGCTCACAGAGTTTCTAAAGGATGTTAAAAAAATTATCAACGTAAAATTGAATGGACATCAGAGCTTCATGCATCTTTTGAAGCTTACAAACAAAGCATAGCAGACGCAGCCCTCTTTTCTTTTCCCGCACCAAAATCTGAAGTTCAGCTGGTTTGCTATGCATCCCATTTCGAAATCGGAGCAGTTTTGGAGTAGCGTACACACGGAAATTGGCAACCTCTAGGATTGTTCTCAAAGAAGCTGATCAACACGGAGAAAAATTACTCGACGTACGACCGAGAGATGCTCGCTATCTTCGAATCCATTAAATATTTCAAACACCTTGTTGACGAGCGCATTTTTGTCATCAGAACGGATCACAAGCAGCTCGTGTACGCATTTCAGCTGCGACCAGAGAAAGCATCACCGAGACAGCTACGACATTTGGCTTTCATCTCTCAATTCTGCACGATTATTATGCGTATGAAGGGATCCGAGAATGCAGACTGTCATCAAATTATAGCAAATTGAAAAGGAACAAGCGTTAGATCCTGAACTGGTACACCTCTTCAAAGGAACCACATCTTTAAAACTTCAAAGGGTTCGATTTGATGACAACATTTCACTGTATTGCGATGTTTCTACAGGAAGCGTTCGTCCTTATTTACCCAAATCTTTGCGCAATGCTGTGTTTTCGTTTATTTACGGTTTGTCTCATCCCAGTGGTCGGTCAACAGTTCGTCAAGGGCACCAAAAGTTTGTATGGCCCTCGATGAATAAAAATGTCCTCGAACGGTGCAGAGTTTGTCTACCTTTTCAGCGCTCTAAGATCTCACCAGAAAAGATCGAAGTGCCAAACCTTGACATTGTAGTTATGCCGTTACAACAAAACTATCGGTACTGTCTGACGATGATTGACAGATTTACGCGATGGCCAGAAGCTGTACCTCTCTCAAATATTACTGCTGAGACAATAGCTACAATGTTCTGGACTCACTGGATATCTCGATTTGGTTATCCAAAAACGATAACTATGGACCAAGGAACACAATTTGAGTCAGCCCTTTTCAAACATCTTGCTAATCTGGCTGGAAGTAAACACATACACACGACGGCCTACCATCCTCAGTCAAACGGAAATGAGTTTCTTACCGACTTGGACGAAACGGTTGACCCCCACCTCTTTTTTAAGTATTTTTCGAGAGCACATGCAAAAAGTGCAACCGACATCAATAGCACATCATATCAAGCAAAGGAAAGGAATCGATAAATGTAGGCATGTATTTCTCCGCACTGACGCCGTAAAGCTGTCTCTGAAAGCCCCTTACACTGGTCCTCATGAGATTGTCAGGCGCGAAAACGATCGTGTTTTTACTATTAGACTAAATGGCCATGAGTCTGCAGTATTAGTTGATCGCCTCAAACCAGCATTTTTAGTAAAGGACGACCGCCAGTTGGATTCTTAAGAAGTTACCCCTAGACTGACCAGGATATATGAGAGGGAGAAATTTCAACCTCATAATGGGGCATTGTCTCTCCTTGAGGCCTCAAAAGGGTTAGCGCCAAAATCGGGCGTCTATAGCACTCATTCCCTTTCTACATCTCCTAAGGAGCAGTTGTGCGTGACTTCAAGTTTTTCTAAAGTGTAGAAAGTCCAAGGTGCAGATCCGTTTGAGCCGCTCCTATCGCTGGCGAAAGTCTTAAGGAGATCGGGAATCACTTACATTTGCGTGCCAGCACAAAGTTTTTTGAGGTAAGGAAGAGCGTTACCGGGAGAAAAAAATTTGGCCGAAATCATGTTTTTCTACTAGGCCGGTAGAATAGCCTGGCAACCTGAACTGGGGAAGCCAAATCGGTAGGACCTTTAGAGCCCGCGGCGCAGAGCATTGGAAGCAGCGATCGTAGGTCAAATAACTATTTTTGGGTCTTAGTTTTTGATATAAAGTCCAATTGTGAAGTGGATGAGCAAAGGCTCAGTAGTAAGACTTGAGTTCCACTTAAGAGGTTAACCTTTATATTCCAGTCTTTGAGCGAGCAGTCGTTTACAAACCGCGTTTGGGAATACACCGAAATGGAGTTCGAGGAAGGCGATACACTCGCTCCACGCGGAGTCGAACGAGTTAAAAATTTTTCTTACTGATTAAGTAATTTTTTTTTTATTTTTTTTTTGTAGGCCAACGCAAAGTTGCTGATGAAAAAAAATTTGGAAAAATTTTAATGTGCGAATGGCCAGAAGGGACCTAAGTGTTTTTCTCTTCTCTCTTTCCCACACCTAACACCTAATAGAAAAAAATGTATAAGGTTAACGTTGTCTCTGCCCAAAGTGATGAAAAGATTGTGATTTTTACTTTCCCGAGACAAGTTAAAATTTTCAGCACCCGAGTTCATCCCAGAAAGCGCTTTCGACGATGGAACCGCGTGGCACGGTTGAGTGGAAAATTCTCCTAGTTTGATTGGTTTTAATAACTTTTAATATTCATACGGCTTTGCAGTATGCGTCATAAAAGAGAAGGCCCTATCGGAAAGTACAAGAAATTTAATTTACAAATTTATATTAAAGGGCTGAGAAAGAAGGGAATGTAAAGAGAAAAATAAAAAGTCGAACCTCTTCGGCCCGTTTTCACCAAAAATATGTTTAGATGTTTGACAGCTCGTTTGATTTAAAATCCATTGAATGTACCCTTCAGTTTTGCTTTGTTCGAAATATTGTTCTAAAAAGAAACCATTATTGGCCCGGCTAATATGTCCCTTTGAGACCCATGGACGATGGGGCTGCTATGGTCACAATGTGTTTTAGGGTCCTAGCAGCCATAGGTAGGGAGGGTAAATCAGGCCTCGGACATCTGAGGTGTGGGACGTTCAGGGGGATTATCCGATGCAACAATTATCTTTTTTCCCTAACTTAAGCGATTATTATTATTATTATTATTATTATTATTATTATTATTATTATTATTATTATTATTATTATTATTATTATTATTATTATTATTATTATTATTATTATTATTATTATTATTATTATTATTATTATTATTATTATTATTATTATTATTATTATTATTATTATTATTATTATTATTATTATTATTATTATTATTATTATTATTATTATTATTATTTTATTATTATTATTATTATTATTTGGCTAAGACGTCTAGTGATCCTCAACCGAGAATCGCTGGTCCTTTTGCACGCAATTAAATCTTTTTATCGTTATAATAAGTATAGGCATCTTGAGGGGCGTGGCAAGAACACCACCCTAACTGCTGGCAAGCAAGAGTCTGAACCTTTTCTGTATTGCGTGCGGCACCCCTCCCAAGTTCAACGTCTCGCCTGAAATTTGGCAGTCGTAGCATTTACGACCGTCAAGATTAAATCATTATTGTTATAAGATATGCAAGCAGCAAAGCGAGATTGAAATGCGCCACCTAGCCGCGATATCAACACATGGTTATGTGGGCGGCAGACGAATTTCAGAGTTGATGGCGTTAGAATGGGCAAGCAAACTTTTATTGGGTCAATCGATAGGTATTGACGAGACCAATTCATTTCAGTTAAAATTTTGTTTCTGGGACGAAAGTTGTGGGCGCCACAGGTTATTGCTGTTTTTAGGCGTTAGAGTGGACGTGGCATATTCGCGTAACAAACTGCGTTTAAGGCTACGGAATCTAAATCTGGAATCCCAATTCTCTATCTTTGATACGTTTTGAGATATCCGCGTTCAAACTTACGATTTAATGAAGTTTGTGGGCGGAAAGAAAATATAACGCTTTTTGCCTTTACAGAAACAGAGGATATTGTTTAATATTTCCATATGTTGATAAAAATCAATGGTTCAAAGACAAAAACTGCAAAATAAATCGTCTCGAAGTTAAACAGCTTAATATAATATTAAGCGGCGGACAATCCATTTTGCAACTGGAATTCAAATTAGAGGTGTCAAAACATCGATGAAAACATCGATGCATCGATATTTTTAAAATTTTCTAAATCATCGATGTTATTTTTCAACCATCGATGTTTCTGTGCCGTCACTATTAAGAAAAAAGGCAAAGGAAAGGTACGTAAAAGAGCAGATTTTTTTTCATTTTTTCTATTATAATATTAAAGTTCTTCTTTTGCTGTTTTTCAGTAATAGAACATTCAATTGGTGGAGCAGGCGACGGCGCTAAGATGGACAAATTTTGGCCACTAAGGATGCACTAACCATTGCTTTGCTGGGCACTGCAAAGGCCCCTTTGCCCTTTGTGTCAGAGGATCTCGAGATCTTAGAAGAACTGTGCACGTTATTGAGTCCTTTCGACAAAGCGACAAAAAGGATTTCGGGTGGAAAGTACCCCACGATATCTTTGATTATTCCTATTAATTGCGAAATGCAAATTCAAATAACTAGCTTAAAGGACAGTTTTAAAACACCAGAGGTCATACTAGCCTTTGATGCTATTGATGGACGCTTTGCAGAACGTTTCGCTCCTTACAAATCCCGATCAGTAACAAGGATTGCCACGATAATTGACCCGAGGTTCAAAAAACTGGGTTTTTGCACCCGGAGCAATGCCGACCAGGCATGCCATGGGTTGGAGGAGGAGCTCATCATTGCCATTAGAAAGTTGTCTGCGTCGGAAAAGCCTGCACCACCAAGCCAGACTAAACCATCGGACTATTTCACTTGCTTGCAAGCAAAATTGCAAGCGAAAAATAGCACGGCGCGCTCCGAAGCCATAGTTATGCTCAGGCAGCATATTGAAACTTCAAATGAGGCCGAAGTGTGCGAGCCGTTGCAATATTGGAAGGTAAGTTTCTAAATTGTTTTATGTCATTATTTTTATTAATTTATTATACTTTCAGGAATCGTCGAACAGTATGGCGCCCTTTAAAGAAGTGGTCAAAAAATGTATATGTATCCCTGCCACTTCCTGCGAGTCAGAAAGAGCCTTCAGCAAGGCGGGGCAAATTATTTCTGACCGCAGGACGCGCCTAAAGCCTGACGTCGTCGACAAACTTATGTTTATTAACAAAAATTATAGTTTTCTTAAAAATGTTTAATTTAGTTATAAGAAATGATCTCCGAAATGATCTCTCTCTCAGTCTAAAACACCAAGTGAATAAATGTTATGTTATATATTTTTAATACAACCACAAGTGTGCATTTGAACAATTTAAAAAATTTTGGTAATTCTTAAATAGTCGGGCCGGAACGCTTAGTTTAGCCAGGAGAAATTTTTAAAGTTTGCCTCTTTACCAAATCGACCCTTTTCAGGGCTACATAATATTCATAAAAAAGTTGCAAATTTCAAATGATTTATATACTTGTCACATATAAGCATAAATGTATGTATATTTTGTGTATAAGTGAAGATACACTTACAGTTATTGGTGTTTATTTAAAACACACATGTTAAATGCAACTTAAATCATTGCAAATTACTAAAAACAAAACCAACAAAAACAAAAATTAAAAACAATAGGAAAAAAGCAAAAACATTAACATTAACGTAACATTATGTGTGTGGTGTGTCTGTGTGCGTGCTGTTGGTTTTCGGCGATCGCCAACGGTTTTTTAAGTGCAATTTGGTCAAACTTTTAAAATTTCTCCTGGCTAATCAAGCGCGTCCCCAAAATAATTTTTTCATCAAAATTCATGATTCATCGCCCTCCAAATATGGATTTTTGTTAATTAGTCGGGTCGTTCCGGCCCGACTATTTAAGAATTACCAAAATTTAATTTTAATTTTTTAAAACATCGATGTTTCATCGATGTTTTATCGATGTTTTGGGTGAAAAACTGTAACGAACTGATTTTGTGTGTCTGCTCGCTACGAGATTCGTGCGGCTAGCTCAGAAGATTGTGCGTTCGTCCCACCAAATTTATATGACGTGATTGCCCGTAGATCAGTGAGAAAACAAAGTGTTCAAATGGTAACAGTGGGATTTATTCTCGTGGTATTAGTACAACGGGTGTGTGGCTGGGCTGGCTTCGGTATCTCTTGGCTCTGGTTCCGCCGGCTGCTGGCGCTTCTCTTTCTGGCTCCTCGACGCGTTGACTCGTCCTCCTCTGGATCCTGGGTCTCGAGACGCTCGTAGTGGCCGCCTCTGCTTGCTTGCCGACGCGTTGCCTCGGGGTCGCTTGTTGCGCCTTAGACCCGCAGAGAGTTCGGCCTTGTGGGCTTATGGAAGCGTCACCGTTCTCAGACTAGGGTGAACAAGCCTTGCTCTCCAGGCTGACGCCTTTCGAGGCAATACCTGTCCCTTGCTCTGTCCCGGACGGTCCCGCTAGGTTCTTGCAGTTCGCGCTGACAGTCAAGGCTGCCGCCCGGAGGCTGTCTAGCGGTTCACTTCGCTTTACGCCTAGCGCAGACGAACGTTCCACCCGGCTTCACCCTAATGCGTGACGTCCGCGACGCTCCTGCGCTCCCCAATGAGCTCCGCGCGGCGATGGTAACGTGGCTGCCGGAAATGTCTGCTGGCGTCGCTGTCGATGTCCTCTGCGCTGTCTTCTGACCAGTATCTCGTTGTTCTGGCGCTCGGGGAGCTGGGCGGTCGCTGCTCGGGAACTTCGCCGGTAATCGCAGGGCTCTCCAGGCTGCCGCCTCTTGAAACCGCAAATCGATCTACCGCTCGTCCGTCACGCCAGGTCCTGCTTGGTCGGGCAAGGTACGCTGGGTCGCAGACAACTTTCCTCCCCAAGCTGACGGCTCTTCGTCGTAGGACTCTTTTGCTTGTCTCTGACAGACCCGCCGGGCGACTCGCCAGGGTGTGGTCGTGACAATGTTAGAAAACAAACGCCTTGACTTAGCCGCGTGATGCCTTTCAGAACTCAGCCACCTGTGTCTCAATTCGGAGATTCCTGATGTCCTAATCCCGAACGTCTCGACGTGGCGATCTTGCTCCTTGTATGCTTCCCACGGCGCTGCTTCCGACGACTCGCTTGGTTGTAGCTCCCTCGTAGATTATTTGCTTGACTGACTGTTTATTTGGTACTTTAATTGATCTTGAAGGTTTGACTCCTCGTGATCGACTGATCCAGCTGCCAGCGCTCTGCGGCCTTATATAGGGCCTCCAAGCACCGTTATTTCCCTTTTGCGCACGGCCCGCTGGATCTCTCCACTCTGGGTCCAAAGTCCGTGCCTCCTGGATGACCCACTTCTCCTTCACGTACCGCTTTCAATCGATGCTCCGCCCACTGCTGCAGTCCCGCTGATTCCCGGGCCGCTTGTGGCACGCCTGTGTGCCGCTCCACTGCCGAGATGTGGCACTTCCTCTCCCGGTCCAAAGTTCACGGGAGAGTCCAAAGTCCGGTGGAGTTCCGTTATCCCCTTTTGCATACGGCACTCTTGCTCTGCCCGCGAAGTCTCCATTCTCTCTCGATCTCCATTCATTGGTCTCCAAACTCTCTCGCTCTCCTTCGTTGGTCTCCAAACTCTCTCGATCTCCTTCATTGGTCTCCAAACTCTCTCGCTCTCCTTCGTTGGTCTCCAAACTCTCTCGATCTCCTCGCCGCGCCGTTACTACGCGAATTCGCCGCGTATCTGGTAAGCGGCCGGCCATCTGCTGCTGCTTCTATTTGTGGGGAGTTATTCAACTCCTCACATTCCCCCCTTACTTCGGGAAACATTTAAGACTGGTTCCTACTCTCCGGCGTTTCCTTGCTTATCCTAGCCTTTGAGTCCTTGTGATTCCTGCGGCACTCCCTCGTTGCTCCCTCGATGCTCCCTCGACGCTCTTAACTCCCTTGAGTTTCTACAGCGGGGGTCATCCGCCTCGTAGCAACTTTAAATCTCCCGCGCCGATATTTCCTGTGTTCCCACTGGGACATCGATACTCCTGGGCTATCGATCCCCAGCTCGCTGCTCATTGCTGCGTCTCACTCCTTTCCGTGTTTCCTCCGCCTGGTCACACCATTCGTGCGTGATCGATATTTATTCGCATATCGATACCGACGGTGCGGCGTTGCCACCTGCTCGTTTGCGATATTTCCACCTTGGCCGATATTTCCATTGTCGTGTGCCCATCGATCGCACTATCGTCCAGTGCCAATCGATCGCCTATCGAGGCGCCCCCTTCCCTGGCTCGTGGTGATTTTGCAATTTTTCATGGGTAAGTTCCTTTTACATTTCCTCTACTCCTTCTCATCTTATCCTTCTCTCTCCTTTCGTCCTCTCTCGCCCTTCACTCGTCCTCTATCGGCTGCGTCGGACTCCATATTGGCAGCTCTCGAGAGCTGGTGCGGAGAGGACTTCGCATTCGCTTCGCAACCAGGACAGCCGGTAAGTATTTATGATGTCTTTCTGCTTCCTGCATTAAGCCCCCTTTAAATTTCAGGTTGCTGGTGCGGCCCATGCATGCCCCGTTCCTTTTCTTGTTTTTAGTCAACTGTTGGTGTGGTGCGTGTTTCTGTTTTTTTTTTTGTGACCAGCTGGCTACGGTGTAGATCTGATTCTGCACCGTCCTCCCCTTTTCCTCGGGTAACAACTAGACGAGCTCGTCCGGCGCATTCCGTATAGACTCTCCGGATGCTGCGGTGTATGTCTGGACTGCGCGTCTTGTGTTGCTTGTCTCCTTCCGCGCATACTCTCTTCTACGTTACCCGTATCCTTGTGCCGTTTTGTAAGTGTCCCTTCCGCCTGGCGTTATCGCGGATGACTCTGGCAACTGCCCGACGCTGAATCCTGTTGCCTTGCGGTCGGGATCACCATCCATCCCTATCCACGTCCTTGTGCCCTACCCTTATGGTTGACCTTTCTGCGTGGCGTGTGGATGACTCTCGCTTCGGCCTGACGCCTAATCCTGTGGCCTCGCAGTCTGGATCAACGTGTGATCCTTATCCATGTCCTTGTTCTATCCTGATTGTCCTTTCCGTGTGGCGTATGGATGACTCTCGCTTCGGCCTGACGCCTAATCCTGCCGCCTCGTACCCGTTGTTAGACATCTGATGTTTCTGCTGTCTGCTCGTTTACTTGTTGCTTGAGCTCGCCAACGTGAACTGTCTTTTCTTTCTTCGACTGTGTGTGGCGAATTTTGCAGATCACTGGAGAGACGAAATCTACAACCTGGTAAGGGCCATCGTACCTCGGGGCTAGTTTTGCAGCGAATCCTTCAGCCGCTTTGGACAGGTGATGTTCCTTGGCCCACACCATATCGCCCACCGCTGGTGACCATTGTCTCCTTCTCAGATTGTAGTGTCTGGCTTGGTCCTGGGACGCCTTTTCCATTTTTCGCCGCACGATCTCGAATACCTCTCTTAGTTTGTTGGCATTTTCCTCAGGGGTCTCCGTAGCTCGTCCAGTTCCTAGGGTTTCCTTATCGTATAGGCTGCTGGGTAGACGTGGTTCCCTTCCCTGGGTAAGAAACGCCGGTGTATGGCCGGTGGATTCCGATGTGCTCGTGTTCACTGCTAGCATAATCTCCGGCCACTTCTCGTCCCAGTCTCTCTGGTCCTGCCCTGCGAACTGCGCAATCATGGTCTTGACCGTTCTGTTTGCTCGTTCGGTTGGATTCTCTTGTGGTGTGTATGGCGCGGTGAATTGTTGACTGATACCCATCTCAGCCAGGAAATTTTTAAATATGCGGCTTGCAAACTGTACTCCATTGTCCGTTATGACCACCTTTGGGACCCCGTACCTTGCGATTATGCGCTCCCTAAACGCCTTCTTGAGGGACTCTGCCGTCGCACTGCGTAGGGGCACCAGTTCCGTCCATTTCGAAAACCTGTCTATCATGACCAGCAGCATTTGGTTCCCGTGCTTAGATCTTGGTAGGGGTCCAACGAAGTCTGCACATACCGTGGCCCATGGTTCCTCCGGCACTTGGGTCAACATCTTCCCAGCCCCCTGCATCTGATTGGGCTTAAACCGCATGCAAATCTCGCATTTTCGTACGTGGGCTCGGGCGTCTCTATGCATGCCTGGCCAGTAGTATCGGGCTGCCAACCGTGCAATTGTCCTTCGGCTTCCTACGTGTCCCGCGGACGGTGCGTCGTGGTTTTCCCTCAACACTGTTTCTCGTAGCGACTTCGGGACGCACATCTTCCATGACGCGACGTCTTCACTGCCTGCTCGGTGAGGTATGTTTCTGTACAGTGTCTCACCATCCATAACATAGTCCGGGTACTTCTGCGGTTGGGTCCTTATCTTTTCGCCCAT